CGACCGATTACATGAGCATGGGGAGATCGAAAGGTCTATCAAGAAGGCATGTTTCCGGTGTCAATGCTGTAGACAGATCAACATCGATCCCGAAATAGAAACTGCCGAAGAAGAGGCTCCTGAGATAATCTTTGGGACGTTTGCTCCAGAGGAAACGAGGGCTTTGCGCAGCAAGATAGTGAAGACCGATAAAGCCGGGTTCGAAGACAGGATGACTAGTATGCGGTGGTTCGAGGAAGAAGATGAGCCCATCTGGGCAAGACTGGAGGAAGAGGAACCAGAATGGGCGGCAATGGCTGGCAATCCCGGACATACATACGGCAGTCCCCCACCTATGGTTTTTCCACCTATACCAGAAGGAGCAATCCCACACTTGAAACCATTATACGTTAACGCTCACATATGTGGTATGCCGATTAACAAGGTTTTCATAGATAACGGAGCTATCTTCAACATTATGCCTCTCAAAACTCTGAAGAAGTTGGGAAAAGGACTTGGTGATTTATCTCCAGTTGATATCGAGATGACAAGCTTCACGGGGCAACCGACGAAACCAAAAAGGATGATGGTAGCCCCTATTGAGGTCGGACCTAAGGTGATTTCAACTGTTTTGTTTGTGGTAGATGCCAACACCACTTACTTGGTTTTTTTGGGGCGAGATTGGATTCACGCCTCCAAGTGCGTGCCCTCTTCTCTCCATCAGTAGATTATGTTCTGGGAAGGGGATCAGGTGTTCAGAATGGATGCCAGCACTAATCCATTCGGCTCCATGGAGATTGTGGAAGAATCTGTACTTTATTCTGAATACGTACCTCCTAACTCGCAAACAACAGTGATAGATGATTATCCCTGGAAAAGCTGTAAGCTCACTGCGCAGGGGTATGTGTTTCATTAGAAACATTTTCTTTTCTCTATTATAGCTCTGTTGTCAGCCAAAAAACTTTAAATTTATTAAGGTTTAACCATGGAAGAAATAGGTGAGTGTGATGAGCTGATTAGGCAGTTTTATTTAAACCAATTAATAGTTATACTACATGGTAAGGAAGGTTCCAACAATAATGTTGATGAGGGAGAAGATTTCCGCTGGCCTGACCTCCTGGAAAAGACAGAACCTCAGGATCCGCTCATTGAGTACAATGTAGGAACCGAACCGATACCCAAGATGGTCAGGGTTAGTGGTTTGTTGTCTAAAAACCAGCAAGAACAGATGGTGACGGTAATTCGGGATCATATGGGATGTTTGGCATGGGATTACTCAGAAATGCCTGGATTGGCACGCGATTTAATAGAGAATATGTTGCCTATTAAGAAGGGGTTCAAGCCATATAAGCAACCACCAAGAAGGGTTAGCCCAGAACTGCTTCCACAGATCAAAGAAGAGATTGAGAAATTATTGAAAGTAAGGTTCATTCGACCCTGTCGATATGCAGAATGGTTAGCCAACATCGTCCCGGTTACCAAGAAGAATGGAAAGATTCGGATCTGCATTGACTTCAGAGATCTCAATCTAGCTACTCCTAAAGATGAGTATGTGATGCCCATAGCCGATTTGTTGATCGATTCGGCGGCAAGACACCGAATATTAAGCCTGATGGACGGTTATGCGGGATATAATCAGATTTCACTAGCAAAGGAAGATATACCAAAAACCGCGTTCAGGTGCCGAGGAGCCTTGGGGATCTATGAATGGACGGTTATGCCGTTCGGTTTAAAGAATGCTAGAGCAACCTATAACGGGCAATGAATACTATCTTTCATGATTTGATTGGGCAGTCCATGGAGGCATATATTGATGATGTAATCATTAAGTCTACTGACTTTTATACACATCTGGTCGACTTGAAAAATGCTTTTCTACGGATGAAGCAGTACAACCTGAAGATGAACCCAACTAAATGTGTCTTTGGAGTTTCGGTAGGAAATTTCCTAGGTTTTCTGGTGCATGAAAAGGGAATAGAGGTTGATACGAACAAAACTAAAGCTGTTCTGACGACGCAACCCCCTCAGACGATAAAAGAGGTTCAAAGCTTGTTGGGTAAAGTAAATTACCTGAGGAGGTTCATATCAAATGCCGCAGGAAAATTAAAACCCATCACAAAGTTGCTAAAGAATAAAGCGACCGATTTTTCTTGGGGTCCGGAGCAGCAAGAGGCATTAGAAGAAATTAAGCAGGCATTAACAAAACCACCCGTGTTGGTTCCCCCAAAAGGGGATCGCCCTCTTAGACTGTATGTGGCAAACAGTTTCGATGTGGTAAGCAGTCTGCTAGCGCAAGAATGGAAAGACGGTAAGGAAAGGGCTATTTATTACTTAAGCAAAACTCTGACGGGGCCGGAGCTAAATTATTTCATGCCCGAAAAAATGTGTTATTCTTTAGTCTTCGCATGTACTCGATTAGAGCATTACGTTCTGCCAAGAGAAACTGAAGTGGTTTCCAAAGTGGATCTGATCAGATTAATTATGCACAGACCAACCATGTATGGAAGGTTAATGAATTGGGCAATCAGATTGGCTCTCTTTGCGTTACGACATCGACCTATCAAGGCAATGAAAGGGCAGGTAGTGGCCGATTTACTGGCTGAATTCACGAACAACGAACCGACAAAAAATAAAATGGTATCATATATAGGTACTAGTCCCTAGAAAATATTTTTTGACGGTTCTCGCTCAAAAGGGAGGTCAAGAGCAGGAGTTATATTAGAAGGACCCGGAGCCCGGAAAATCAATCTGCAACTTAAAATGGAAGAAGTGACTCATAACTCTGTAGAATACGAAGCGCTAATTTTGGGTCTGGAGGTACTCGTAGCTAAAGGAACGCAGGCGGTTATGATTTGTGGAGATTCTCAATTGGTCATCAATCAGGTGTTAAAACGGTATGCTTGTAATTATCATCATCTGCGTCAATATCGAGATTTGGTATATCGCCTATTATACGGAATTATGGAGGTAGTTATTGAACATGTACCGAGAATTGAGAATCGACAAGCAGATCATTTGGCTCAGAATGCATATCAACAAATAATTTTTGGTAACATTAATACGAATACCGATTGGAGAACATAAATTATGGTCTATTTAGAAGCACCAAACTTTTTGACTCCTGTGGACGTTCGATTGAAAGCATTATGCTTTCAACTTATTCGAAGGAGTATTATTAAGGTGTTTGGGACCAGAAGAATCCATCAAAGTAATGGAATAAGTTCATGGTGGAATTTGTGGAGCACACAGAGTAGGATTGAACATGCGATGGGCTATTCATCGTATGGGGTTCTATTGGCCAAAAATATTCGACGATTGTATCAAATTTGCTAAAGGATGTCAGGAGTGCCAGAGGCATGGCCCGTTAAACCATTTGCCAACAGTGGAACTCCAGATGATGATTAAGTTGTGGCCATTCAAGGCCTGGGCGTTGGATGTAATAGGGAAAATTCATCCGGCTTCTTCAAAGCAACACTCATTCATCCTGGTGGCAACTGATTACTTCACCAAATGGGTAGAGGCAGTCCCTTTGAAGAATACGACGCAGAAAGAAGTGATTGAGTTCGTACTTAATCACATTATTTATAGATTTAGGATTCCCCACACCCTTACAACTGATCAGGGTTTGATGTTTACCGGGGAAAAATTTATTGAATTTTTGGCCGAATTCAACATCAAATTGCATCATTCTTCGCCTTATTACCCACAAGCTAATGGGTTGGCCGAAGCGGCAATTAAAATCGTCATCGGCATCATCCGAAAAATGGTGGAGGAAAATCCAAGGAAATGGCACACAGTGCTGCCTCAGGCATTATGGGCCCACCGAAATAGTAGGAATACTTCTACTGGATTCTCCCCTTACCAATTAACGTTCGGGCAAGATGTTGTACTTCCTGACGAGTTTGTTGTGTCTTCACCCAGAGTGACTAATACAACAGTGAATAATGACGAGGCATATATACAAGGAATGTGGCAACGATTTGAGGAAGTAGACACTGATCGATTGAATGCTCTGGATCGAGTGGTTAGACAAAATGAGATTATAGCAAAATATTATGGAAAAAGAGTGTCCCCAAAAATCTTTGCAGAAGGAGATTTGGTGTGGAAAACAATTCTGCCTACGTATAAGAAGGTGGATCAGTTAGGGAAATGGTCCCCCAATTGGGAAGATCCTTTCATCATTCACAAAGTAATTGGTAACGGAGATTTTATTATTGTGAATCAGGAAGGTAAGTTGGTACATGAGAATATTAATGCTAAGTATTTGAAAAGGTATTTTCCTGTCTTTTCAAAACATCATCATTAATTCTTATTACAAGAGATCTAGGAACCTTTCAAGGGTTCGAACCCATAGGAAGGGGTTTTTATTCATCATCCGAAAGGGTGACACAAACGTGGTTGTCTTTTGGTTAAGAGGTTTTATCCAAACTCTCATAAACCATTTCAGGTTCCTCGTCCAAGAGATCGTCCAGATTGAGACGATAACGATCCCATTGGTCTTGCATTTTTTTAAGGTCTTGTTCAGTGCGACTTTTCATATCCTGTAAAGATTGGCTTTCCCGTTTGACAAGTACGCGCAGCCTGGAAAGTGTTGATCTTTGCTGGTGAAAAATATTGTTCCAACTGAGGTCAGGAAGAATGGCCAGAACATGATGGTTTATCATATCGAGATTATGATCAAGATCAAATATGCGAGTGTGAATATCAGTAAAGGGTTCATAACTGGTGGATACACGTTCCATTAGATAGATCGTACGATGTATGGTTTTTCTACCTCCACCAGAGAATTTGAATTTAAAGTCTAGTTTTTTTAGCACCTGTATCATGTCCTCAACATGATGACCTATGGGGTGTTTACCCACAAGGAAAGGTTTCAGAGAACCTTTCCAGTTGGAAGAAACCATTTTGAGTGTAATGTGGTGCATGCTGATGATATTTGCAGTGAGAGATATAGAGTATATATATGTGTTGTGGTGTTTAATTCCTGACTTAGTAAGAGTGCAAAAAACATGGTTCTGTGTTCTGAAAAGTAGGATGCATATATAGACTAAGTCCAGAAGTTATAAACATATTACATCAAGTTAAAGAGAAAGCAGGGCCTTAAGGGCGGTTCGGAGGTCGGTCCATTTCAGCTCCGACCGAGTGGCCTGCCGACGCTGGTAGGCCTCTTGGTGCCCCCTAACGAGTCTCATTCATATGCTTGTTTGGAGTTAATCGCAGAGACTCATTTGGGTTTGGCAATGTTCCTCCACCATGCGACTCCCTTCATGGATGCTATTATTCAGGGACTCCAATTGTTCTTGAAGGTTTCTGAGCTCTTCTGTCTTTTGGGAGATCTCAGCTGCCAGTGTTTGTCGCGCTTGTTGGAGTTCGTCCAGCGTAGTATTGGCAAGATCAAGGTCTTCATTGACCTTCTTTAGAGATGCTTCGAGGCTAGCTAGTTCAGTGATTGGTTGAGATGACGTGGCCTCGGAGGATGGAGGTCGGATCAGAGGCAGTTCGGCTTGAAGTTCTGTGATCCTTGCCATCATCAGATCAAGGACGGGGGGAGCTTTCGACTCCAGTGAGGGCTGTACCAACAAGTCTATCGCGACTTGAATCAAAGCCTCGAGGTCGGGTGGACTCAAGTCGGCAAAAGACAGGATGGCGCAGCGTGCTATGATAAGTTGCGCGGGAGTCGGAAGATTGACTCGGGCCAGGACGTTCATCTCATGGGCAGCCTGAAACGAAGGTGTTAGAGTACAGAGGAACCAACTGAACTAGTCAAGATAAATACAGGGTTAAAACTTACCTAATTGAGAACGGTCGTCGCCTCAGAAGGGGCCATCATCCGAAACGCCATGGGAATACCATGACGAGTCGTCAGGCCAGCGACCGACTCGTCTGCTGGTTGCAGATGGTGGGCTACGGCCAGCTCCATACCCTGAAAAGAGAATATTAAGCAAGGGAGAAGGGATAAAAGTCAAAAAGTAAATGAGAAAGAATACTAACCGAACCCCTTGGGGCAAAATTTACTGATGCTTCGCCAGACTTCGAGGAAGAGATCTCCTCTATGTCATGGGGCGGAGGGATCGGTTGGACTGGTTGAGGAGCAGCAGGAGGTCCCTCGCCCACAGGCTGGGCGGCTGGCTGTAAGGGCAGCGCAGCGGCATGGTCGGGCGGTGCCACCACTGGGTTGGGTAGTTCTGCGACCTGGTCAGGTAAGGCAACAATTTGATCAGGCACCGCCACGACCGCACCAAGTTCCTAGTTGAAAGTCATACATGAGTTAGAAATTTATAAAAGAGTTATGTGGAAATATATTGGCAGTTACCTGCGATGGTTGAAGAGCAGGTGAAGGCGAAATTGGAGGAGAAGTCTGCCTCCCCATCGACTCCTCCGACCGACGGATCATTGGCAGTTCCCCCTTTGCAACGATGGGGATCGGCTGAGGAGCAACTGATGAAGGACTTGAGTTCACCTTTAGAAAGAATGATTAAAATTAGTGGTAAAGTTGAATAAGTATTCCCTTAGAAGGTGTTAGGAAATATTTTACCTCGACCTGCAGAAGGATCGGTTGGGTGGTGGTCGGTCGCCCAGTGGTCGGGAGGTTTGCTGGGGGACCGACCGGTTGAGTGGGCAGTCGTTCGATGGGTATGTCGGGTGACGCAGCGGTCGGTTGGTTTGCGGTCGGGACCGCGGTTGGCTGAGAAGAAGTCAGAGTAATGGACGGTTGAGCCGCGGTCGGTTGAGGGTCGGTCAGTTGAGTAGCGGTCGGCTGAGGGTCGGTCGGCTGGGCTGCAGTCGGTTGAGAAATGGTCGGAGCAGTAGTTAGTGGTGGCGAAGGGGTCTCTGAAATAGAAATGATTCAAGTGAAAAAAGGACACATATTTAGAAAAGGAAACACTTGAAAAGCTAAGAATTTACCAAATTGCTCTCTCAAGTATTTTGGCAGCCCACTTGTGTCTACTGGCAGAGACGTCAGGTACTCTTCGATTGCCTGCCTGTTGATGGCGGGGGCGACCTTCTGTTTTTTCTTTTTCACTCCAAATCCGCCTTCGGCAGGCGCCAATCTTTTCCTTCTAGGAGCAGAGACTAGTCGGGGAGAACCCAGCGCTAATGCTGGGGGCGGGAGGAGTTTTCCGACCAATTGGTCGGTTAGAGGAGCAATTAGAGACCAAGTAGTTGACCACCAGGTCGGGAAGGCCTCAGCCGACGAAGTTTTAAGGCGGAAAGGTAAGTAAGAGTTGGAGGTAATGTAGTCGGTGAGTTGGGAAAGGTAAGTTGGGATAAGCTCGGGGATCACCAGCCCTTCTGGGCTTTGAGGTATAAGGTGAGGTCGGGCCAGTGGTCCCGGCAGACCCTGACAGCAACCGAACTGTCGGGCCAAGAATTGGGGTTGATAGTTATAAGTATAAAAGGATCTATGATTTTTCTTGTCCGACCTCTTGCTGGAAAATAGAGATCGGGGTTTCAAAGCAGAATCCCATGAGAAAGGATAGGTCGGATGGGGAAGAGGATCAGGATAATAGTGGGGATACGAAGTGTTAGGATAGAGCCAAAAAAGGTCGGTGGCATATTGGGCAAGAATTTTGTAAATGTAATGACGGGAGTTGCTTTGGTCCTCGGTCAAAATTTGGGTGATGACAGAGTCAGATGGATGAAGATTAGAGGAACTAGGGGTTAATTGGGCTAAGGCAAAACCTATTGACCTCTGAGGGTTCGGGCTAATAGGAAGTCGGCCAAAAAATATGTTCGGGAAATATAGGCGAAGCCACAGCTCCAGGAACCAAAATGGTCCCGAAGCAACTGTGTCCGCCTTCTTGGTATCGGTCAGGCGGGTGCTTACTTGGGATAAACCCTCAAAAAGGTTAGCCAAAAATAAGGTTCCTAAAGAGAAAAATGGCCGCTGGCCAGATGAATAGCCAAATCGACCTGGGAAGAAAGAACGAGTTTGGAAGGGGAAAGAATTATATATCTGTGAAAAAAGAAGAAATTCAACTACATGTATGACTATTGAGTCTACATGAAAAGTATAAGGAAAGAAAATGTACCTGGATAGCCAAAAAAAGAGAAACGCTGTGTGTTCCAGCTCAGACACGGGGGTGCCCTCCTCACCCGAGAATTTGGTGACAAAGCTGGTACAGCTTCTCTCCTTTTCAGCAAGCTTTGAGGGGACCCAACCAGCGTGGTCGGGTGAGGGCTCCCGACCCTCAAAATAAACCAGAACGGGGTCGTCACCCACTATGGGCAAATGGGCGACGATGGCCACGTCCATGAGGATCGGGCCAATGGGGCCAGAAAGGAGAAATAAGACTCCCATCTAGGAATGCCAGAAGGCCGCCATTGCTAACAGGGCCTTGTCATGGAGATGGGGTGGCTGAGTCGAAAGGAGAATGGCCTTGTCAATACCTTGCCTCTTCCATTGTTCTTTGAAGTGGGGAAGGAGCCTCTTGTGCCATTTGCGATAGGCGTCTTTGGGATTAGTAAGGTGAGTCCTAATGCTGTCCAAGAGCCTTTCTGGTTTGAAAGCGGCATCGTTTATAGCCATCAGAGAAACTTGAGATATTACAGATCTCATACGATCGGCATCTTCGTTGGTGGTACAATAAGGGCGAACGGTGGGGGTGAGAACCTTCGAAGCTACGAAGGGGACCGATGGGTTAGTCCCATCGAAAGAAAGAGCATGAACATATTGATTGGCCATTTGCGAAGGATATGCAGAGAACGAAGGAGAATAGATTTTGGAGGAGGATATTTGCTGGAGAGGAAAAGAAGGGCTTCAGGATTTTTGAGTGCGTGAATATGGAAGGGTGAGAGAAGGGTTTTACATAAACCCCACGATGTGACATAAAATAGTGTGATGATAGCACTGTGCTACAAACCCCTAAATGTCACATCTCACACAGTCCGAGAAGTGACGCTTATGAGTCGGGCGGGAGGAGGCAAGTTGTTGAGTGGGAAAAACCCATGTGTAGGGTTTTTTAGAATGGGCCTATAAATTGGACTGATGTATAGTCCAATGGGCCTGACAATCGTAGTAGGGTCTTAAATGGGTTCGAATCGGGAGATATTGTGAATTAGGTGACCGGTGGATACAGAGGTCGGACAAGGAGAAGACAGATGAAGACAACAGTAAACGTTTAGGTCGGTTGGCATGGAGGTCGGACAAGATAAAGTCGGGCGAAGAAAGATGAGACGGCCGATACGGAGGTCGGACAAGTGGAAGGCGGGCAAGAGGAGACGTAGCAGCAAATGTGCAGGTCGGACGAAAAGCAGTTCTAAGGCGGTTGAAAGAAGTTACAACCGGCGAGCGGATATGAAGGCACGACCTGGTTGTGGCAGTTGACATAGGTTTTAAATAGGTCTATTCACGACCTAAAGAAACCATCTTCAATCGACTTCAAAATCAGTGAATTTCTTTTTGAGATCACCCTTTTACTTCTACAGTCTGTAGTATTTCTTTTTCTATTTTTCTTATGCATTGTACGGTGTCTAAGGATTTTTAATCTCAGACATTTATTTTGTCAAATTCGAAGTATTTTCGAATTTTACTTTTATTGTTGAAAAATCGACATCAACAATCTTAAATAATTTTTTGAATAAAATAAATAAATAAATAAATAATCAATTATTTAGGTCTTTTAATGAAAAACAAAGATTAATTCACATACAACTTACACAAGAAACACTATCAAATTGCCCTCAATTAGATCAAAAAATTATTGACCAAATCAACCACAGAGGATGAGTAACATTGACCGAAAACGGTTTTGCTCATAGTTTGTTTCGGTTCGTTTTTTTCTTCAGAATTGTCAATCGACCTTTTGAATATTCAGTTTTGGTTCTAACCGGCGCTTTCTCCTTTAAATATATACTTTTTAAAAAAAATATTTGTAGACAAAAAAAAATTGTGTTATATTTTTATAATTGTATAGATTACATTTAATTTAAACATATGCGAGTCTTATTCTCTATTTGGATCCTTTGATTCTCTTCCCAGGTCGATTCATTTTTCAACTTGGATTTGAATGGCTCCTTTGATCCGAAGGGATTTGGTCTTCGGTTTGGCTTTGCCGGCTTTTAGAGGGCTTTGGTCTACGTGTTACCGATTTTGATCATCGACTTTGGATTAATGTCTCATTTGGATTATCTGGAGGAATTTGATCTTTGAGAAGGTAGATTTGGTGCTTCATAACGCTTTTGGCGGCGTGTCCCTTTGACTTTTGGATCGAAGAGGGCCGAGTAGATGCTTTTGATGAAGAACGCGACGAACATCTTGAAACTTTGGAAGGAACTTTGGAGGCTCTTCTTTGGCTTTGATGGATTCCTCAATGGCTTTGGGAGCTTTAATCCTTCATCCGACTTGAGCATACGACAAAGAACGTTAACTCCATCGATTCGTCAACCAATATTGGATCATTTGTCCAAATCAATACTTTTCAACAAAGAACGCTTCGAAGGACACGAATAACAATGAAGAACATTGCAGAGAGTTTAGAGAGACTTACCTTTGCGCGAGTCTTCAAATGAACTTCGGTGTGTAATGAATGGGCCAAGTCTCCTATATATAGGGGAGGGGTGGCCTTGATTTTCTTTGCGGATGGTGCCACGTGGTGCGTCTTGATTGGTTAACAAAATTTTTTTATAATCCTTCATTTTTCATCGGATGTTCTTTTTTATTCTTGAATGATTTGCTTGTGCCCCTTCTTTTTCGTCAAGATTTTTATATCATTTTTTTTTCAAAAGATATTAATTTAAATATTTCCTTTATTGACGAGATTAATTTATTTTTCTGTCAAATTTATTATGGCTCTATTTATACACATAATATTTATACGATATCTTCCATTTTAAGTAGATTTTTGCATTAGTGATTGATACTTATTGTACAAAAATTAACATATGTGCATAATTAAATATCACACATTTATTACATCAATATTTTATTTTATTTTAATATATATGATATTTAATTTAATTTAATTGAACGATCTTCTATATTTATTATGTATATTATTCATTTGATATTGACTAGTGTGAATGATTGGATGGCTCCAGAAGTTTATTGTCCAACTCTCTCATATTTATTTTTTTTAATCCAAAACCAAGTATTGATTCTTCGATAAGCCTAGAAATAATAAAAGATTTATAAACATTATTGTACAATGACATTACAGAATACAATCAAGAAGAAAGGATAAAAAAACAATACTACAAGTTTAATTCTCATTAGACACAATAGGGATAGGGATAGGGCTAAGGAGAAGGAGAAAATAGAGAATGAATGAAAGAAAGAAATACTGGGGAGAAAAAAGAAAGAGAGTGAGAGGAAGAACCTGATGCAATGTACTGTGGATGTCTCATATTTATTCTAGATTTAATTTATAGTGGACTAAATTAATCAATTTCATCTCACTGTTTCTTGTTAATCTTTCTTTTTCATTATTATTTTTAATAATGTTGAAATATAAATAATATATACATAAAAAAATAATTTTAGGTTGCTATGTAATCAACCAATTCAAAAACTCTTCTATTTTTTCATTTTAATAAGAAAATATATTTTTACTCTCAATTTTTTCAAAATCTGAAAATTTTGTATTATAAAAAAAATATACAAAATTATATGCATATAGATATATTTTTGGTATTTATAATTTACTTTTTAAAATAAAAATATATGAATAAAAAAGAAAAGTATAATACATATAACAAAATAAAGAGAGAATTATATAAATATATTTTGAAGAAGAAAAATGAAAAGGAAGTGTTAGACTCAAAAGAAAGATGATGTATTATATAAATATATTTTTTTTGGTAACTATGCAATCTATCACTTACAAAAATTTACTCCTTCGGCCACAAAAATTAGAATATTTGGGTCCGACACAGATATTAAAAAAAAATATATTAAAAAAATAGTTGAAGATATCTTTGAAAAGTAAATTAAAAATTTAAAAAATAAGGAGTGAGAATGTAATAAAGATAATGAAATTTGTTGTAAATAATATTAAATTGAAAATAATAGTTAAATATTGATGTATTGATTTTACCAAAATTAGTAATGAGGTAAATTTAGCAAAGAGTATAAAAAGAAAAGTGAGTAAATTTTGCTGACGAAGAGAATATTTTTTTTTTAAATATTTTTTTATATTATATTTATTTTAAAAAGATTTTATTGCTATATTATTAAAAATTCCATTCCTTACAAAATGATATCATGATATATTTCTTATATTTGTAATATACTTTTAAAAGAAAAGTATACAATATAAAAGAAGAACAATATTAAAATAAAAATTGGATGTTTGAGGAACCATTCGGTCAAACGGACTAAGCACAAAAATAATTCGGTCAACGGTAGCACAACTAAATCGGACAAAAACTTTAATCTGTGAAAAAGACAATTGACCATGTAAATTACAATTTTGAACAAAGATGAAGTATGAATTACACAATTGGACAAATAAAAACAAAGAAATTTGATAGGGTGAGAAGCACACTCATAAAATCAGGTAATAAGCTATTCTTGAGAGATATATATATATATATATATATGCTGTTTCATAATTTTAAAGCCCTGCAAAGTGAAAATATTGTAGACCCTTTTCATTTCTCACCACACAAAGATCATTTGCAAAACCAGGTAGCTAGCTAGCTAGCTAGCTATATATACGAATATGATGTAATATCTACTAATGGATGGATGTCTGATTTTAAGCCTGAGGAAAGTATAAATCATTCAACTTATCTTTTCTACAACTATGAATGACATAACTATTAGAGTGGCAACAAAGCTGACCTTTTGGAAACTTAGCTGCTGCTGCTGCTGCTCCAGCTCCAGTCACAATATCTGTGCCAACACTTGCAATTGTCTGTTCTGCTGTTGTACAAATGTGGACTCGTCAGCGGATAAAGCATCCACAAGAACCCTACCGTCCCCATTATGGATGCCACATTTACCATCCCTGAAATCGGATAGATGAACAGGAAGATTTTGTATGTGAAGCTAAATCCTCAAGTTCATGCTGCTAATACTAGTGCAGCTCGATATTGACAGTCTAAAACTAATCTAATGATCTCAGCGTGCCCGAGTGCATTTTGCATGCAGTAGTCAATAGACACCAATTTTCGGGTTCATTCATCGATTAAATTTGATTCGTTAAAATGGGAATGCAGTGGATGCACTATAGATATGCTCCTGCTAGATGCAACTCAATACGACTACTTGACACGAGATCCGGCATTCAAGTCTACGATATAAACTAATAATTACAGCTACTGAAAAATACTCCAGCTTACATCTATCTACTTCATTAATACATCCAGAATTAATCATGCAGCTAAGTTTTTTTTTACATGAGATATAGAGATGTAATGTTATATTTATAAAAGCTAATATGTCTTTCTCCCATACTACACTTTTCCATTTATGTTTTTGGTTGAGTGAGGGGTGCATCAATGTTTGCCCAACGAAAAGATCAATTAACATACCAGATCGATGGGAAAATATTGCAGGCAAGCCCATGAAATTGCAGAATATATGAGCTATCAGCGGTGATGCTAGGTGACCTGAAATTAACAATCCTCAAACGTACTAATGTAAAAAAAAAAAAAAAAAAAAAAAAAAAAAAAAAAAGTAGAATTGAAAGACAATAATAAAACCAAAAAATAGAAAAAAATAAAAAAATGCTTATGTTTGAATTACATGAAATTTTCACGGGTAAAGATTACTGACCAGTACGAATGAAAAGGAATGATGCAAATGCCCCAAAGATGACTGTGTATCCTAGCTGGAAGCCTGAAGAGTGAAGACCATTAAGATATTAAGAATTTTGCATCCATAGTTGATCCTAGTGGCACAAGGAGCAAAGTGGATTTGTGGAGTAGAGTGTTATTGCAAGCCACGGAAGATGGACAAACTAATTTCATACCAAGTGAACCCTCAAAGATAACAGTTCAAAACAAGACTTTATAAAATTATATTAATGAAGAACACTAGAAAAATGAATAGATTACAAAATCAAACAGTTTCATAAGGGGGGGGAATTGCAAGAAGAATTGTGCCATTAGAAGGAATATATATATATATATATATATCTAGAAGAAAGAAGAAAAATTATGAGAAAAAGAGCCTGAAAGTCAAAACAGAAAGAGACTATTGAAGAATATAATAGAGAATAACAGCACAAATAAGAAATAGAACAGTTTCTACTTAAGGGTGTGTTTGTTTGGGGGGGGGGGGGGGTGTTTGGATTTTGAGTTGGATTTGAATAGTAAAAATTTTGAATTTGAATAGTTGTATAATGTGATATAAATAGGTGTTGATGTGATGTTTTGAGTGTAAAATTGATTTTTAGTATAATATATAAAATGAAAAATATGTGTTTAATTTGATGTTTTTGGGAGAAAAAATTAGATGAATAGTGTATTTAAAATCCAATCCCCCAAACAAACACACCCTTAAGTATTATGAATGAGGTAGCTGTTGTGTAAAAATGGTTATTTATCCCATGCCTTAAGAGCCTCGAGTCATCTAGAAACATTGTTAGCAGTTTAAGACACTGGGGTCACTAGTAGACTAACTCAGATGGAGGGTAAGACCAGTCGCACAATAGCAATCGGATGAGGTTTGTACATAAGTACTATGAGAGAAGCACCCAAAGGTAACCCAGGTGAAAGGTAGACACTGAATGCCATTAGCATGCCAAGCACATCCCAGGCATACAGTAATGCCCACACAATAAGAAAAGGCACATGCATGAAACTAAGATGTGCAGGTCAGCTACCGAGTGACTCGACCATGAAAACCATGCTTGTAATTACACACACAAAACAACAAAAATATACAAAAATAAGAAAATCATTAGTCATCCAGAGGACCCAAATTACTGAAAATTGAAATCGAATTGTCCTACCTATTTAAAATGATCCCACTTGTGCGAAACTTTGGGCTATTACTTAAGATCACATTATGTATTAACTGAAACTATTGCGATTGAGCATACAAACAAAACCTAGAAGTAATGAGAAGTTGAACCATAACTTTATAGCAATTTCTCCATTGTGAAAAGAAGGTACATGTACCTACCAATAATTGCACAAGCTTTAAGAAGGTTGCCTTTTTGCTGGAGATAGACCTCAAAGAAGTGATTCAAATGAGCTGCAGCAAAATAAACCAAGCATCGCTATCTCATTAACTTCAGCAAACAAATGAAAACATTCTTATTCCAGTCATCAGATACCAATGATGGGAGAGAGAGAAATTGGATTAGGGGCAGGAGATGGATAGTGAAATTGAATAAATGGTAGGAATGATATAAGGCAAGATAATGAACTCAAATAATAAAATGTCTAAGCTTCTGCTAAGAGCAATGTTCTACATTAGAAAGAACCAATCTAGATATTCACATATGTCTGTATAGACTGGATTCTAAATATTAAAATACAGGAGCTCATATAAGATACATACCTAAACTGAAAAATATAGGACAAAGAAGTATAACAGTATAGGCACTGAATCCTCCACAGAGAAGCAAAGGTATCATACAAGCCCTGAATACCAGCTCTTCAGTAAGTGGAGCCTGTTCAAAATGCCGAGAAACATGGTATAGATACTTCTGAAAACCCTTTTACAACCAAAATAGAGAAGTGGTTTACAAATAAACATCAATGGCCCTGAAACATCCGAAAAAAATTGAAGCCTATAAATATATGCAACGGCTGTATATCAGTTTAATAAAGAGAAGAAAGAAGAAAACCATCTAAATGACTCACCACAACATAGTTTCGCCAAGCCGACACACTTGAAGATACTGAAACTAACCACTCAATGAAATCCATGAAAGTGTTCTTTACATATACAAGATATAAACTCCCATCATCATTCAAGCATTCGGTGCTTTCTTGGATAATTGACAAAAGTCTCAGGACAAAGGAACCAGCATACATCAACGACGTCAATGAAAGAGGATAGACCATTGCTTCCCACTATTAATAAAATTTAAATACACAGAAAACATTAGGAAATATATTGTACAGTGTAAAAGATCATGTAGTGCCTCAGATAGTGCACTCACAATGTGATCTATTCGGACACCGTAAACTCCAAAGAGATCTAATGCTTCTGCTCTGTTCATCTGAAAAAAAAAAAAAGTAACAGAATTCAAGGAAACTCCCCCATGGTTAGACATGACCAATCATAAAAAATTGAGATGTGAATTGTCCATTGAGGCTTGAGCTCGCTACACGCATTAAGCCTTTACTAAGCAGGTGTAGTAAACAGTAGCTAGCTTCCTTAATAGAAAAGTTAATATATTCATTGATTATTAACTAGCCATGAGAATACAAGTGTAGTATTCATCCGAAACTTGTTCAATCAACCATTACCCTGTTTTAGCCGCCAGAAAAGTTTTGAAATTCATTAATCAAGCAATTAACAAGAAACACTATATCTGAGACAGTGCCCAAAGGATAATGCTTCAGCATGCAATCTGGCCGTTCAAAGAAGTACATCGCGTCGCACTCATGGAAAAATCGTGGGGTAACTAAAGAACTACTGCCACATAATAGGATTTGAGATCACAGAGAATAAAGAAAGCTGCTGGTTGATCATTTTGAATACAACGCCCAGCCTTATTACATAATAGCTACTTCAATTTAATCACCATTCAGTTCGGTTTCATTTTGAATGTATCAAGTCAAGTCAGTTTCCAGCACAATCACACAACTCATTACCTAATTCAACAAATACGATCTCTATCATATTTACAAGAAATCGAACTTACAAACATAGAGCTTAAGCACCACGTCGAAGCTTTCACAAAACTTGAGGTGCAAATTTAAAAAAAAAAGAATCGAACAAAATAGAAAACGTACAACGATATTCCGAACTTACGGGAAGGATGAGGGAGCAAAACAGAAGGGAGACGACGGAGGATATGGCGGCGCAGGCGAAACGTCGCATCATGAACGATTTGAATGAATCCGGCGGCGGCAGTCGAAGTATCAGTGTGGGAGCATACAGGATTCCAACATAAAGCACTGCCATCGCGATGCACGAAGCAACCGCTGCCAACTTCGTGAGGCCGCCGCCGCCATCCTCTTGCAGCAGCTCCATTAGCGTGGGATCGCCGAGAATCTGTCGACTTGGCTGGCACGAACTGGAAGAGCGCCTCCCAGTCAATGCTGCCTTGTTGGGCCGTATTGGGCTCGATACTTTCAATTGGTTGTATTTGGTTCGACGACTTTTTGAAGATTTTTAAAATGTGTTCTTTTTATATGAAAAAAGCCCAACCTATTTTCCTAAACAAATTGTAAAAAATTATATATATTTATTATTTTTATATTATTTAAAAAAATTTCTATAAACTATATATAAAATTTTTCTTTCAAACCATAATATAAAATATTTTTTATATAAAAAAAAATATTAATTTAAAATATTATACTACCTCCGTCTTAATAAGTATTCATTTATTTTTAGAGCAAAACTCAAATCCAGTCCTATTCAATTGCCATTTTTTCATTTTTAGTTCCATCCAAAAAAATTTATCAAAACTAATCCTACTTAAAAATTTATTCAGCATTTTTTATTCCACTAACATAACACACTGATGTGTCGTAACAGAAGAATCCAACACCGTCGTTTGTGATATAAACACACCCGTTTTTATTCCTTCATGTCCAAACCGCCAACAAAGTTTCGATCGGAAACGATATTATCCACGACCCGATTCCTCTGTTACTCAATGAGCCAACCTCCAGCTAATGTGTGGTGGGTAGATATAGTTGAACTGCTCCAGCGTGCAGCATCCGATCATTGGCCCCAAGAAGTTTATGGATATTCCAGTTTTAGGGCGTTCTCATGCTAGTAGTATCCACACCGAAGGAGCATTGGACATTGCCATTCCTTTGGAGGCGGGAGCCCTGTAATACATCTCTGCCTTGTGCTGCTGGAAATACGTCGTCACCTCATCGAACTTCTCTTGCATATGAAACTCTATATTCAACTGCTGCTCGCACCACTGGCACTGGACCATACCACGGATGATGATTATCTCCTTCGTAACCAAATAACTCAAGTTGTGGAATGTCGTCCATTCGCATGGCGGGCTGATGTTCGGGCTCTCCTTGCCGGCGCTCCGCGCTGATTTCCGCTGTGCGATAGGAGGACGAACAGCCACCAACGCGTCCGGAGGGGGCATCTGTGGTGAGTAACAGAAGAAGGATAGAGAAAGGTGAGCATATGGTTATCTTGATCGGCAGTGGGGATGAAATAGCTGACGGCGATGGGCAAATATGATACGTTGAAATCAGACGGTGGCGAAGGAGCCGCGAAGGCAGAAATCAAACTCCAATTGCCAGAGATCAGCCTGATGAAATAATTCTAATTTTTGGATATTATTAGTGTGGCCCAAAGAAATTCAATTTGGTGATTAATGGTGGGAGTAATTGAGACATAATTGGTACATTTGAATATTTAACCATTTCTAGCAGTTTCAGGATTGTGAATTTAGTTTTCATTTGTTTTTATCTATTGTATTTTATTCATTCGTAAGACGAGTGTGAATTCTAGAAAACACAACAACAGAGTGTGATGTTCTGTCCTATTCTTCTTTCTAGAATTTGCCTCGATTTTTCTGGTGTGATTCTTAATTCCAATATAGTAGATTACCAACACTTGGTATCATAGCGTTGTGTCGTGTTATGCCCAAATATCTACGATTGGAAGACATGGCTTTAGTAACTCAAGGAAAAGACCGTGGTGGTGTGTCGTACCAGTGTCTCATACTAACGTTTTTGAATTACACCACTTGGTGATATGGGTGGAAGCTATTTTGGACGCACAAGGGTTGTGGGAGTCTGTTGAACTACCGGATAACAAGGAGTTTGATGTGAAGAAAAGTAAATCGGCAAGAGCTTTCATTTTAAAAGGGTTACCGGAGGATATTCTACTACAAGTGGCCAAGAAGAAGATGGAAAGAGAAGTATGAGATTCATTAAAGTTGTGTTACCTTGGGGCTGATCGAGTGTAGAGGACGCGATTACACACGCTAAAAAGTGAGTTTAAGGCTCTTCGGATGAAGGATGGGGAAACAGTTGATGAATTCAGCGGAAAATTGAGTGGGATGATGTCCAAATATAACATCCTTGTGGTGACGCTTGAGGATAGTGTTCTGGTGCAAAAATTGTTCGATTCAGTCCCCGACAAGTACCTACAATTGGTAGCTTCGATTGAGAAATATTAAGATATTGACTTCATGTCGTTCGATGAGGTTGTCGGTAGATTGAAGGCATATGAAGATAGATTACAACTTTGAAGTGGTAATGGGAGTGCTGAAACCAACCCGCTGCTTACCAAAACTGAAAACCACCAAGTTAACAAAATTGCAGGAGGATCGTCTGGAGGACGAGGACGCGATTTGAACGACAGAGGAGGTCGTGGAGGCCGTGGTAGAGCTGGTCGAGGTAGACCCAATTGGCAATGAAATACTGGTAACAACAATTACAAGCCAAGAGATAAGAAACACATTAAGTGTTTCAATTTTGAAAAATACAGTCATTATGCATCCGAATGCAAAGCGCCAAAAGAGAAAATGGACGAAACAAATTTGGTTGAAACGCAATAGGAAGAACCACCTTTGTTGCTTAGCATCTATGGAAAGAGAAAAAATACGTTGTATCTATTGAATAAGAAAAATGTATGTCCTAGTACATTCGAAGGGACTGACGAGGCTAGAGAAGATGTTTGGTACCTTGATAATGGTGCGAGCAATCATATGACTGGAACACAAAGTTTATTTGCAGAGTTTGATGAAAAAGTCACTGGCGAGGTTCGTCTTGGGGGCGGTTCTAAGGTTTAGATTGCAGGCAAAGGGTCAATCTTATTGAAGTGCAAAAATGGAGAACAACAACTCATCTCGGAGGTATATTTTATCCCGGCTTTACATAGTAATATTTTGAGTCTTCGACAGATGATTGAATTGGGATACAAATTTGAGATGATAGATGATTTCTTAAAGATTCATGATGATGTTTGTCGTTTAATTATGAGGGTGGAACGATCGAGAAATCGATTGTATAAGATTGCACTTGAGACTACTCAACCCGTTTGCCTAATGGCGAATCTTAATAACAAAGCATGGATGTGGCATGCTCGATTGGGTCACGTGAATTTTTGTACAATCGAGTGGATGGGTTGAAATGAATTGGTTCATGGAGTTCCCATTGTACAACATCCTACGCAAGTTTGTGAGGGATGTATGGTTGTAAAACAATCGAGACATTTGTTCCCAAAAGAAGCTCAATGGCGGGCAAGTCAACCTCTTGAATTGGTTCATGCGGATCTATGTGGTCCGATATCTCCCTCAACAGTGTCAGGTAACCGTTACTTCATGTTAATAGTTGATGATTTCAGTCATTACATGTGAGTTTATATGTTAAAATCGAAGGATGAAGCCTTTGCCAATTTTGCAAAATTCAAAGTAAAATTTGAGAAAGAGACATCGATGAAGTTGAAAGGATTGTGGAGTGATCGTTGGGGGAAAATTCACCTCTAAAAAATCTAATAAGTTTTGTGAGCAGAAAGAAATTCAGAGGCAACTTACAACCTCTTACTCCCCTCAACAAAATGGTGTGGCGGAGCGTCATAATAGAAGCATTCTTGAGGTTACGAGGTCATTATTACGAATGATTAATGTGCCTGATGTAATGTGGGGTGAAGCTATTAGACATGTTGTCTACATACTCAACAGTATTTCGACTAAAGGAGTGAAAGGGATGACGTCATATAAAGGTCTAAAAGGATTTAAACCAACACTTGAGCACCTAAAAGTGTTTGGGTGCATTAGGTATATGAAGAAGCTGGTTGATTAGGTTTCGAAGCTTAGAAATTGCAACACTCCAATGGTTTATTTGGGAGTTGAATCGGGTTCTAAAGCCTACCGAATGTTGAACCCAATTGAGCTGAAGGTTATGGTTGCTCGTGACGTCGTTTTCGATGAAAATAAAAAATGAAGTTGGGCTCAATTACACATGGAAGAGGCTGATGTAAGTAAATTGTGGGTTAATGATTTTTTCAATCATATCCCGGAAGAAGTACTAGCCAATACCAATGGCGAACATCAGCTTGCTGAGATGTTGATGGAAATTCTGCAGCAGCTCCGACTGCAGCTCCTTCGAGCAAAAATTGTGCAGCAAATGTGGACCCCTCGACGAATGAACACACTCCTATTAAAGGCTTTCGAAGTCTCACCAGATATCTACAATGAGACGGAGCATATGGAAAAGGATCCGATGAATTGATGTTTGTTGGTGATGAACCTACAACATTTACAGATGTTGTTAGTGTTCCTTTATGGCAGGAAACAATGAAAGCGGAATTGTGTTCTATTCAAAATAATCGTACTTGTTAGCTTACAACTCTTCCACCTGGGCACAAACCAATCGGACTGAAATGGGTGTTTGAAGTTAAGAAAGATGCTGATGAAAATATTGTCAAACAAAAAGCTCGATTGGTTGCAAAAGGATACATTCAACAAAAAGGGATCGATTTTGATGAAGTTTTTGCACCAGTGGCCCGATTGGAAACTATAAGGCTGCTATTGGCTATAGTTGCTATGAAAGGATGGTTGGTCCATCAACTTGATTTAAAGTCGGCGTTCTTAAATGGAGAATTGCAAGAAGAAGTATGCGTGTCTCAACCCGATGGTTTTGTTTCTAAAGGGAAGAAGCATATGGTATACCGTTTATACAAGGCCCTCTATGGCTTACATCGCCCCGAGCATGGAACATACGTCTTGACAAGGCATTCAAAGATTTGGGCTTTACAAGGTGTTTACAACAGCAAGCGGTGTATAAGCTTCATGGTTTCAATACAATTTTGATAGTTGGTATATATGTGGATGATTTAATTGTCATCGGATCAAATGAAGACCAAGTAATTCGGTTCAAAGTTAAAATGCAACAGGTGTTCGAGATGAGTTACTTGTGGCTGTTGACATACTACATGGGAATAGAAGTGCGGCAAAGTGAGAAAGGCATCGAGATAAGTCAAAGCGGGTATGCAAAGTGGATTATACAAGCAACTGGAATGTGGGACTGTAATCCAACAAAGTGGCCGATGGATGCAAAGTTTAGCTTATTGAAGGATAAGGAAGACACCTGTAAATGCA